CTTTGGGAACATTTTTGGGAATATTCCCTGAATTTCGCTGTTTCTTTTTTCGCTGTTTCGTGCCCAGGCCGTTGTTTGTGTTAAGTTAAGTAAAATTATACCAATTTCCGATTTAAAAAATATATACTCTCCCAAAGTGTATAGGAAATTTGATAAATAACACTAATAAAATCAGAATGATTTGTTATATTTGTCCTATTAAATATCCTTAAAATAAGCTAATAGAAAATTTATAATTAGGACCAGGGACATGGGCCGGCCCGGCCCATGAAGGTCTCTAGTAGGATTAAAAAAGAGGAAAGATTTAGTGTTGTTAATCGGCTTAGCCGAGTCGGCTCGAACAGAGCTCACCCAAATTTTGGGTCGTTTTTTTCGACTTCGACCCGAGTTCAAGCCGAAAAAAACGACTTCGACCCAAAATATGGGTGGTTTTTTTCGACTCCGACCCAAGTCCAAGCTGAAAAAAACGACCTCGACCCAAAATATGGGTCGTTTTTTACGACTCCGACTCAAAATTTGGGTTGTATTTTTCGACTCAAACTTGAAATTTGGGTCGTATTTTTCGACTCAAACTTGAAGTTTGGGTCGTATTTTTCGACTCAAACTTGAAGTTTAGATCGTATTTTTCGACTCCAACTCAAAGTTTGGGTCGTTTTTCTGATTCAGACTCAAACATCGGGTCGTTTCATTCAATCAGACCCAAAATATGGATCTTTTTTTTTAAAGACGACTTAAAGTTAGGGTTGCTTTTTTTCACCCCTAACCCAATATCTACATCATTTTTTTCGACCAAAAGTCAAATAAAATTTAGTATATATTAATATTATAAGCGGGAAAGTTACTTAAAGCTTCTTTAAATTATAATGCTCTGATTAACTATTCATCATAGTTATATTTTAAAATTTTTAAGTGAAGATGTACCATAGAAAAGTGCCATTTGTCATGATGGTTATTTTTGAACTTTTTTAAATGAAATAGACAAAAATATATATTGTAGACATGTTAAATCAAAATTTCAGTGATGATGTACCATAGATAAGTGGTAATTGTCATATTCGCTATTTTTGAACTTTTTTGAGTTTTTTTAAAGCAAATTGCTAAAAATATATATTCTAAACATGTTAAATTAAAAATTCAGTGAGGATGTATCATAGATAGGTGACAATTGTCATAATCGCTATTTTTGAACTTTTTTTTTAAAGGAAATATCTAAAAATATATATTCTAAACATGTTAAATTAAAAATTCATTGGGGATATATCATAGATAGGTGACAATTGTCATAATCGCTATTTTTGAACTTTTTCAAATTTTTTTAAAGGAAATAGCTAAAAATATATATTCTAAACATGTTAAATTAAAAATTCAGTGAGGATGTATCATAGATAGGTGACAATTGTCATAATCGCTATTTTTTAACTTTTTTGAGTTTTTTTAAAGCAAATTGCTAAAAATATATATTCTAAACATGTTAAATTAAAAATTCAGTGAGGATGTATCATAGATAGGTGACAATTGTCATAATCGTTATTTTTGAACTTTTTCAAATTTTTTTAAAGGAAATAGCTAAAAATATATATTCTAAACATGTTAAATTAAAAATTCAGTGAGGATGTATCATATATAGGTGACAATTGTCATAATCGCTATTTTTGAACTTTTTCAAATTTTTTTAAAGGAAATATCTAAAAATATATATTCTAAACATGTTAAATTAAAAATTCAGTGATCTATGGTACATCATCACTGAAATTTTGATATAACATGTCTACAATATATATTTTTATCTATTTCATTTAAAAAAGTTCAAAAATAACCATCATGACAAATGCCACTTTTCTATGGTACATCTTCATTTAAAAATATAACTATGATGAATAGTTAATCAGAGCATTATAATTTAAAGAAGCTTTAAGTTACTTTCCCGCCTATAATATTAATATATACTAAATGTTATTTGACTTTTGGTCGAATAAAATAGTTCAAAAATAGCGATTATAACAATTGTCACCTATCTATGATACATCCTCACTGAATTTTTAATTTAACATGTTTAGAATATATATTTTTAGATATTTCCTTTAAAAAAATTTGAAAAAGTTCAAAAATAGCGATTATGACAATTGTCACCTATCTATGATACATCCTCACTGAATTTTTAATTTAACATGTTTAGAATATATATTTTTAGCTATTTCCTTTAAAAAAATTTGAAAAAGTTCAAAAATAGCGATTATGACAATTGTCAACTATCTATGATACATCCTCACTGAATTTTTAATTTAACATGTTTAGAATATATATTTTTAGATATTTCCTTTAAAAAAATTTGAAAAAGTTTAAAAATAGCGATTATGACAATTGTCACCTATCTATGATACATCCTCACTGAATATTTAATTTAACATGTTTAGAATATATTTTTTTAGATATTTCCTTTAAAAATATTAGAAAAAGTTCAAAAATAGCGATTATGACAATTGTCACCTATCTATGATACATTCTCACTGAATTTTTAATTTAACATGTTTAGAATATATATTTTTAGATATTTCCTTTAAAAAAATTTGAAAAAGTTCAAAAATAGCGATTATGACAATTGTCACCTATCTATGATACATCCTCATTGAATTTTTAATTTAACATGTTTAGAATATATATTTTTAGCTATTTCCTTTAAAAAAATTTGAAAAAGTTCAAAAATACCGATTATGACAATTGTCACCTATCTATGATACATCCTCACTGAATTTTTAATTTAACATGTTTAGAATATATATTTTTAGCTATTTCCTTTAAAAAAATTTGAAAAAGTTCAAAAATAGCGATTATGACAATTGTCACCTATCTATGATACATCTCTACGAATTTTTAATTTAACATTTTAGAATATATATTTTTAGATATTTCCTTTAAAAAAATTTGAAAAAGTTCAAAAATAGCGATTATGACAATCGTCACCTATCTATGATACATCCTCATTGAATTTTTAATTTAACATGTTAGAATATATATTTTTAGCAATTTGCTTTAAAAAAACTCAAAAAAGTTCAAAAATAGCGATTATGACAATTACCACTTATCTATGGTACATCATCACTGAAATTTTGATTTAACATGTCTACAATATCTATTTTTATCTATTTCATTTAAAAAAGTTCAAAAATAACCATCATGACAAATGGCACTTTTCTATGGTACGTCTTCACTTACAAATTTTAAAATATAACTATGATGAATTGTTAATCAGAGCATTATAATTTAAAGAAGCTTTAAGTAACTTTCCCGCCTATAATATTAATATATACTAAATGTTATTTGACTTTTGGTCGAAAAAAATGATCTAGATATTGGGTTAGGGGTGAAAAAAAGCAACCCTAACTTTAAGTCGTCTTTAAAAAAAAAGATCCATATTTTGGGTCGGATTGAATGAAACGACCCGATGTTTGAGTCTGAGTCAGAAAAACGACCCAAACTTTGAGTTGGAGTTGAAAAATACGATCTAAACTTCAAGTTTGAGTCGAAAAATACGATCTAAACTTCAAGTTTGAGTCGAAAAATACGATCTAAACTTCAAGTTTGAGTCGAAAATACGACCCAAATTTCAAGTTTGAGTCGAAAAATACAACCCAAATTTTGAGTCGGAGTCGTAAAAAACGACCCATATTTTGGGTCGAGGTCGTTTTTTTCAGCTTGGACTTGGGTCGGAGTCGAAAAAAACGACCCATATTTTGGGTCGAAGTCGTTTTTTCGGCTTGAACTCGGGTCGAAGTCGAAAAAAACGACCCAAACATTGAGTCGGGGTCGAATAAAACGACCCGAGCTTTGGGTCGGGGTCGCGACTCGCGGCGTTTTAACAACACTAGAAAGAATTGTTAAAAGATGGAGTAGAAAAGTGAAGAAAAATAACAGGAAAAATTAATAAATTATTTTTAAAAATACAAAAATGAATTATCAAAAATGAGAAGAAAAATATATTGAGAAAAGATATGAAAAATAAGGATTGAAAATGACTTAAAGAAATCGCAAAAAGTTAGAAATAAAATCAGAAGGAATAATAAAAAAATATATTTAAAAAAATTACGATTTTCCTTTTTTGAATAAATTTCCTTTTTTGATTGTCACTTTTCCTTTCCTTTTGGGAAATTTTCCTTTTTTGATTGGCACTTTTCTTATTTTGATTGTCACTTTTCCTTTCCTTTTGGGAAATTTTCCTTTTTTGATTGGCACTTTTCTTATTTTGATTGGATTTTTTCCTTTTTTGTTTGACACTTTTCTTTTTTTGATTGAACTTTTTCCTTTTTTACACTTTTTCTTTTTTGATCTGACTTTTACCTAAGCCTTTGGGACTTTACCTTTATTGATAGGACCTTTTAATTTTTTAATTAAACCTTTTCCTTTTTTGATCGGACCTTTTCCTTTTATGATTGGCACTTTTCCTTTTTTGATTGGCATTTTCCTTTTTGAATGGGAAATCTTGTATATACTATATACTTGGTTTATAATGATATGTATTGTTTTTATTTAAAAAATCTTTGATCTAAATAGTTATTTTTTCTATTCGGTTTAGAGAAAGCTATATAGACTGGTAAACAAAATTCTATTTAGAAATAAGAATAGTCAAAATACAGCCTTTGGGTGTTTTTAAAATAGAACTAACCCAGTTATTTATTTCAAAAAGGAATTGACTCATTCACAATTTCTTCTGTCTAAAAAGAAGGTGAAATCAAAATCTTCCAGTTTATTAATTTTATTTTTATATCAAATCTAACTATATTACACATTTTTGGAAGTTTTAATATTTTGAATCAAAAATTTAGTTGACAATTAAATTTAAAATAGGAAATTTCGACTCCAGTTATTTATAAAGCGAAAACGGTTTTTTTTTAAAATATTTGAATAGTCATAAAAGGTTACCCTACCATTAATGATAGATGTAGAGGTTAATAGAAATAAATAACAAAAACAGAGTAAATAAAACTACATATATTAATATTAAGATACACTCTTAAATGTATTTTTGGCTATTGCTGTTGATAATCTTGCAAATGCTCAAGAACTAACTGCTGCTGAAGAGGCTGCTACCATTGCTGAAAATGAAAAGGTACATAAAATTTAAATAAAGCCATGAGATAAAAAAAATATATAATTATATCCTTTTTGTTTAAATTTGATCATAAGAAAAATGCCGAAATTGAAATCGAAGCCAACAACAACAAAATGAATGAGTATTCACAATACATTTCCAGTTTTCCAACGCTATATTCATATGACGAAAAACAGACTAACAATATTTCTAAGTATATTTTCACGATGCTTATTAATTTATCATCATGCAACCATAAAACAATCTTTGAGTGATCAATTTTTAAGATGAATGAATAATAGAGTATACCAGATTCTCGAAAATGTTTATAATAAAATATGTTTGACATATATAATAAAATTGTTTTTTTAATTATTATTTTACAGGTAGGCTAATCGCAGATAAGGCATTTTGTAACCAATTTTTTATCTCCATATTAATTTATACGAATCAATAACTTTTAAGGGTTAATAATATAATTATTAATATCTAATTAAAATTTTATCGAATTGATACCTTCATTGGTTTAAGCCGAACTTGAATCGTGAATTCAGTTAAGCCTATTTTCACTGTGAACCGAAGACCATTGCAAATTTATCAACCAATTATTAACTCAAAAAAAATTTGTGCTTGGTTTGGGTTCAAATGAATAATTAACTCATATGTCACTTCCTGAATAAAATGAATACAATAAATTTAGATTTTTGATAAGGTTATGTTCAAAACTTAAAACAAAGGTCGTATAAAAAACAATTAACGATTATAAAAATAAATGCTATATATAAATAAATTTTGAAAAACAAACAACTGAATAAAAAATACAATTTAATTTAATATAAACAATTAAGATATCGACTTACTTGCATTGCTAAAAGTTATTATAAAAATAAATAAGCTTTTTTTTATCTAAAAAAGAAAAAATATACAAAACATTTCTAGACAATTTTAAAAATCTAACATACAATTTCCTTAAAAAATATAAAAGTAGCAAAAGTTATCAAACTTTTGAAAAAAAAATTCATTAAACATAGCCTAATAAAAACTTTTTTTTAAAATTAACCTAAAAAAATATCATTTACTCTAATACTACTCCAAACCAATTTCCTTAACATGAGAACCCAAATCAAACTTTCCGAAACCATATAAAATTCAAATTGGGTTCAAACCACTATGTAATACATCAATCTTATTATTATTTATTAGCCATAGAGATAAAGATCTCATGATAAGCATGTATCAAAACTCAAATCATTTAATGTCACCAAACAAGGTTATAGAAATCGACAATGGCAATCATGAAAGTAAAATTTACTCAATTTTTAAATTTTCCAGATGAGATTACTAGATGACTAATTTTAGAAATAATATAGACTGAACTAATAAATTTACAAAAGCCCTAATCAAAATTTAGTTTAGTTGACAATAGTTTATTGTTTATATTATGATAATGTAGTAATGTAATGCCATTTATTAAAGGGTAATGATATGCAATGCTTAGCGAATTATAAAAATTCATGTTGTTTTTCCTTAAATTTTATTGGAGGTTTTTACGCTCATCTATTGCAGGTTCTTGGGTTATATTAGATTTTTTAAAATAAGTTTGGTTTTTCATATATTTTCTCTTAAAATAATTTGTTTCTGAAAATTTTGAATTAAATAGTCATTATTTTAAAAAAAGTTAACTTCTTTTTTTTCAAACTTATAGTGTAATATTGCATTATTTTGGGCTGGGGGGGGGGGTAGGTAGAAGTTTTCATTAGCTAAATTGATATTTAAAGAATTGCTATATATGAAACCACACAGTGGTCACTAGGGGGTGGGAGGGCGCGCAGGGGCTCGAGCCCCCTGAAAAATTTAAATATCCCCCTTAAGCAAAAAATTTTTTTTTAATGGCTCCTTAATATCCTCTTGAACTAAAAATAAATTTTTTTGATTGCCCCCCTATATAATTTCTTTTATAATTCTATTAAGTTATATATAGATTTAATTTTATTATTTAAAAATTAATAAGACCATCTAAAATTTTATTATATGAATACTATTTTAATTATTGAATTAGATTAATACATTATAAATTATATTTTCACTATGTTAACTTGCAATTAAATTCTGTGTTAAAAATAGAATATAAATATCACTCACTAAATATTAATTTAGTATTAACAGTTGAAGCTTAATTGATTTTTATTATTTTAATTATTATATAACCCTGATTAAATTAATATAATCATTTATTAATTGAAAATTAACAAATTTAATATTGTAATTAGCCGAGTTCAAAATCACTAATATTATTAATTTTTAAATTTAATTACCATGCCTCTTCCTAAAAACATTTTCAAGGTCTAAATAAATATAAGAGATTTCTTTTTAAAAAGTAAGTAGACATATAGTTTATAATCCTCTATTATATATAATTGATTATAAAAAGTAAGTAGACATATAGTTTATAATCCTCTATTATAAATAATTGATTATAAAATATTAGGTAAAATGCCACTTCAGACGTATTTGACAGTTATATAATATATAACAGTGATAGTTTAATAAATTTTACTACTAAATCCTTTTGATAATGAATATAACAATTTGCATTCAATTCATTAACGCCATCTATTTATTAAAATATATTATTAAAATATAAACATCTTATTATTCATACCACAATGGATATAATAAATTAGATATCTTTTCTTCTCTTTTTTACGTGTTTTTAGGAAAGCTATTTTTTTCTTCCTTGATAAAAAGTTTTGAGTTAGATTTTTAATACGAATATATTTTCGATATTATTAACTACTATTATTTTAAGATATAATATACCAACTAAAGGTGTTTGCAAAAATAATATATAAAATCTTAATTGCTTCCATCATATTACCCTGTTTCTTATTTTATAGTTACAAAATGTTTCATTTTTAATATGGCATCCTTGCCATGTAAATCACTCAAGGCTTCAATATATTTGCATGATTTCTTCTAATTATTTTTAGTGTTTTAGTTTTATCAATTTATCTAACATAATAAATTCTTATATGAGTTAACATTGTGGGTGTCATATTAAATTAAATTAAATTAAATTAAATTAAATTAAGTTAAATTAAATTAAATTAAATTAAATTTAAAATTAAATTAAAATTATAATTAAAATTAAAATTAAAATTAAAATTAAATTAAATTATTTAATAAAAAATTGAAAATTTGTTTAAATCGATTATTGGAGATAATCAAGGTTGTCAGACCTCCCGATTTAGACTCTTGATTTCCCCAAAATATTCTAGGTCCTGAAATTAAAAAACACTTTAGAGGATTTCAAGGAAATCATACCTCATCTTTATGTATCAAATAACAGAAATACTAAAACATTCCCATAATTCTCCCCTATTTTAATAAAGAAAGAAGGGTTTCAAATAAAGTTCGAAAAAAAATTTCATCAAACAGTTGAAAATTCTAATCTTTCAATTTCAAATGTTTTCTGTTGAAAACACGAGTGTGTTGGAATTAAACATATTATCTTTTTTGGTAGCCGGTTTCATATAATTTATAAAGAAAATGGATATAGTTGATATGAAATGTTATGCCGAATTCAGCAGATTTACAGATATAGTACCCATTTAAAAGAAAATTATATATTCTCTAGATATCAAATTTTCAGAACTTCCACTGAGTTTTGCAACTAGATGGCCATAATTGATTCCGGCTCTTGAAAAAGTTTATAAAAATTTAGCTGATAAATCCTATTTTTATCCTCAAAAAATCCCAATTCAATATTAAAATAATTTTTGAAAAATGGGAGAGGCTTAATTATTTTTAAAAAAGACATTATAACAGAAATGTTTTTAATTAATAATATATATATTAGTATAAACTTTAAGAGCTCAAGTTATTAGTATCTTTTATAGCTCGGTTAAAAGAACCTATAAAATGTGATGATCATGATAAAATTCTATCATTTCAAAATATAGCTAATAAAACAATAGTTTCGATTTAGAAAAAAACAAATTTATAAACAATAAATGGGAAGATCTAAAAGTATTATGACGACGTTTGATAATAAATTTAAGTTTGAAGTTGAATATAAACAAATTTGAAAAATTGTAAAAGATTTCAAAAGAAAACTTTTAATTAATTGCATAAAATCTTCTAAAATATATGAATGAGAATAAAAATAAATAAGTGATTTTTTCAATATTTTTTGTGTATAATATTTTTTAAAAAAATAATTTTTTTGAATTATGGTCAAATTCTCCCCCTTTTTGTTTGAATAAATCTGGCCCTCTTGGAGATGACTTCAAATGAATTAATTATTGTTCAGTTGTTACCTTATATGAGTTCCATTCTTTTAAATATTCTTGTTTTCAATAACATATATGGAAAACGAGATATCAAATTGAAATTGCAAACAAAAAATTTTATTATTTGTACATTTTAAATTTAATTCAACAATATTATAATTTTATATAAATTTAAATTTTTCAGATGCAATTCTCGACGAGTCTTTTGACGATGGGAAGAAAAAATTGATACCCTTTACTTCCTTTTTTATACTTAAACCGACAAATTTTATCCGCCGTGGAGCCCATTTTATCGTTAACTTGAAATATTTTGACCTATTTATTATGTTAGGTAATTCATATATTCTAATTTTATAAATAATCTGATCTTTTACTAAAATATGTTCTCTTTGTGCTCCTTACATAAGAACAAAGCAGAAATTTATTATATTGAAAAATTATTTTTCTTTAATAACTGGTATCTCTCATGAAATTTATTGATTAAAAGAATGTATGATAATTTAAGGGTAGGTAAGTGGCATAACAGGCCTTGATTTTAAAAGTGGCTATTAATTTTATTGAAAAGATTTAATATAGTATATAGCCCAGTTTTTAATCTAAAATAAAATTAAGAACTTTTTTTGTAACCGTTTTTGAACTAATTGAGTTTATGTAGTCATAGTATATTAATTGGCCGTATTTTTTTTAAGAATTTAAATAAAGATATTAAATATTACAAGATAAAATATGTATATAAGAAGCTAAATTTAAAATACTATAATATAAATAGTTTAACCTAATACAAATTTAATTTAAATTCACACTCATCTAATAATAATATTTTATAAATTGGAATCTTATCATTTGCAGGTTAAAGATGCTTATTAACCAGATATAATGATAATATATTTATGTGTAATAACCTGACCATACAATCCTATTTATTATTATTAAATGCTTTTATAAGTACATAAGTTCTAATTATTTGTGACAAAGCATAACTAGATCAGAAAGTTAAAGTGATGGCCAGTCTACACTTATGGCGATTTAATACTTCTTTCCAATATATAATATTTGAATGTTCCTCACAATTAGTTTTGAACAGTGGCCTTTATCAATCTCCGGGTTTGGGCTTACTCCATGAAAGAGCTAACCGAGTTTTATCCATAATATCATCAAAGTTTTACCCTAAGGAACCCTCGATCTTGTGAAAAGTTTTCAAAAAAATAACTCGGGCTTCAAGAGTTATCAGATTCTATAGGCACATGCTTTATAATTGAGCCATATTTGCCTAATTAATCACTATATGGCCAAGAGTGGATAAAGAAATGAATGTTAAGATTAAGAATGTGAACACAATAAATAAATCTAAGTTTAAAAATCATATAATAAAATTATCCTTTTTTCAAAAATTTACAAAATTCAAATATCATTTTCACTATTTATAAGTTATATGCGGAAGTAGTATTACTTTAGCAGCTGAAGATCCTGTCAACGAAAAATCCCATAGAAACAAAGTTTTAAATTATTTCGATTACGTATTTACTGGAGTTTTCACGATCGAAATGCTTTTAAAAGTATTATGATTTTATAATTATTATATAATTTTACTATAAAATTTAGATGATAAATCAGGGTTTACTACTGCATCCAGGTTCTTATTTCAGAGACTTGTGGAACGTTTTAGATGCAACCGTAGTTATATGCGCTTTGATTGGTTTCGTATTTGCGTAATTTTTTAATGAATTATACTTTTATTTAATGTCTGATATTTTAAGTTGTTTATAATCATAATATTTAATTTATTTATGAATTAATAATATTCTTCTTATTATTTTTAATGAATATAAATAAATCTCTGTAAATTAAAGATTTGCAAATCACGGCCCGGCCTGAAACCGACCCGACAAAGGGGTTTCGGGCAGGGCCCGGTCTATTTAAAAAAATTATTTTGGTTTAAGTTGGGTTGGGCCTAATATTATTTAAAAAATTTCGTGTCAGGTCGGGTCGGGCTTAAATTTTTAAGCATATCATTACATTTTGTCAAATAAATAGAAATATTTTAAAATTCTTGCAAAAAACAAGGCGCTAATATTTTTTTTTACAATAAAAAAAAATTAAATTTTTCTATATTTAAATAAATTTAGGCCGGGTCTGGCGGTCAAATAATTTTTATTTTGGGTCGTTGGGGACAAATAGAAAAAAAATTTATTTGGGATCGGGCCTTTTTGTTTAAAGGTTTTTTAAATTTCGGGCCGAGTCGGGCTTGGAAAATGGCCCGATGCAACTATACTGTAAATACAATATACATATTTATAAAATAGCGATAGTGAAGGGGCAGCCAAAAATTTGAACACAATAAAATCCTTGCGAGTTCTCCGAGTATTACGACCATTGAAAACTATAAATAGGGTTCCAAAATTAAAAGTAAATTTTATCAGCAATAGATCTAATTATATACTAATTAATATTTTATTTATAAATAATATAGGCAGTATTCGAATGCGTAGTAAATTCTTTAAAAAATGTCTTTAACATAATGATAGTCTATATGCTTTTTCAATTTATATTTGCCGTCATCGCTGTCCAACTATTTAGCGGGAAATTTTATTATTGCACAGATTTTTCCAAAAAGTTGAAAAATAGTTGTAGGTTAAATATTATACATGATATATTATGTTTTTTAAAATTTGAATCTTTATAATTTTTTATGCAATATATAACTATAATTTTTATTAAATGGCTCACTTTTCATTTGCATAATAATTATTATGCTAAATAACTTTATATAAATTTAATACTTATATTTTTAATCACATTACTTTCTTAATCTAAACTATTGTATTTTTTCTGCACAAAGGGGGGAATATTATGTGTACAAAGATGCCAAAATATTACCAGAGGTTCATTTGAGAGAATGGAAAAGACATAATTTTAATTATGACGATGTGCTGAGGGCTATGCTTACTTTATTCACCGTAACTACGGGAGAAGGATGGCCAAAGTATAAGATATACTGATTTTAAATTATATTGATTATAATTTATAATTGATAACTTAGTGACATTTAACCTTTAAAAGTGAGAATAATTGCTTTAACCAAATTTAGTCATTCTATGCTTAAAAATATTAAAAAATAGAAGATTCATAGTTAATAAAATATTATACTGAATAAAAAATAATATTTTGATTGTTCTATATTTAAAGCGTTTTACAAAATTCCATGGATGCCACTAAAAATGATCAGGGGCCTCAGCCAGGATACCGAATGGAAATGGCGATTTATTATATAGTATTTTTCATAGTATTTCCTTTCTTCTTTGTGAACATATTCGTTGCACTTATCATAATCACGTTTCAAGAGCAGGGAGAAAAAGAGTTGGAAGAAGGTGATTTAGATAAAAATCAGGTCATCATTTTAAACTTGAATATTATAAGAATTTTATTAAATTAATAAATAAATTGAAAAACTTAAATATTAATTGATTTACTTATTACCTTATTATATTTTTAGAAACAATGCTTAGACTTTGCCATAAATGCCAAGCCTATAGAAAGATACATGCCCATAAACAAAGAAACTTATCAATACAAAGTTTGGAAGTTGGTAGTTTCGATATGGTTTGAGTATTTTATCATGATTTTAATAGCACTCAACACTATAATTTTGATGATGAAAGTAATTATGAGTTTTAACCATATTCCCTAAACTTAAAAAAAATATAGCACGCTAACCAGAGCTTCAAGTTTACACTCACTTTGCATTATCTAAACAGTGCCTTTACAGTATTATTTACCATAGAGTGTATATTGAAGATAACTGCTTTTGGAATCAAGGTTATATTTATATTTAACTACTTGGATTCGTCTATAAGATCCTATTATATATAGGAGAACAGGGTTAGATAGTAACCGTGGTAAAAAGATAACTACTTATAACTTTTCAACCTTTTAAAACTAAAGAAATTAGCATAAAAGTGTTTTTGAATATAAATTTTCCATCATATGCTCAATTTTCAGACAATCAACATTTAGCGCCAATAATATTTTTAATTTAGATATAAAAAAAAAGGGTATCATTGGCTTTAAGAAATATTAGTGACCTATTCAAAATTTATATATAAGTTTTTTGATGACTAACTATAAATTGATTTATAATTTATAGATGCCGGTGTATGTTAGACTAGTTACCCATGAAAGAATTTTCATTGGCATTTTTAAGCATTCTCAAGATACTAAATTTCTATAAAGGAAATTGAGTTAGTGATCTACATCGGGCCTAATTTTTCAAGCCCTGCCCGGCCCGAAATTTTTTTTAAAAAAGTTTTGCCGACCCGAACCCGAAATTTTTTTAAAAAGTTTTGCCGGCCCGGCCCGAACCCGAAATTTGTTTTAAAAAAATTTATCGTCCTGGTCAGGCCCGAATTTATTTAAATATAGAAATTAATATAATTACTTAAAATAAAAGACATATGTTATATAGCGTTTAGTTTCAATAAATTAAATCAAAAATTTTTATTTTACATAAAAAATTCAATATAAAATTGATAAATTTAGATATATTTAATAAAATTTCCAAGGTCCGACCCGACCCGGCCCAAAATTTTTTTAAAAATATTAAGCCCGGCCAGGCTCGAGCGATTATTTAAAATAGCCCGAAGCCAATTCGGGCCTGGCTGGGTACGGGCCGGGCCAAACTTTGCAGATCTCTAAATTGAGTATTACAATAAAATAAAACCAAAAAAGACATTAATTGCTAATTTGCGATAACAAAATGATAGGTATGCGTTGAGAAATTTTGAGACAATTGTTTGATAAATTTTTGATGATGAATTGTTTTGCTTAAAAAAAATTTTCAGTCTATAGGTTTCCAATAACATTTATATTAAGCTAACAAATAAAAATAAAATTCTCTTTCAATAAAGGGAATAACCTGCTCTCTGCAAATTGTAATTATTTATCAAATGCAAATATGGATACATATTTATTTTATAGTATATAAATCGCTAGATAGGATAATTATTTTAATTTAACATATTTTAAATATAATTTTTTAAAATATATTAAAGTATAAAATATGTACCTTATACAATAACCAGACAATCTCTGAGTTTAATAATTGTTCAAAATTTAGGTCAAGTAAACCTACTGAAACTTGTCTACTCCCTGCCACATAGTACCGACATCATTCCATGATTCATATTCATGAGAAAAATATTGAAAATAACTGAGTACCGGGTATTCATAATAAAAAAACAGGTCGTATTTTCTATTAGACAACAAACTTGAAGTGTGTAGAACACATAAAATTATCTAAGACAGAATGGGGAAATAAATCCGCTTACAATGATTTCGTCTTAATGGTAGATGAAAAATGCAGAACTCGAGAATTAATATCTTTGAAATAAATACTATAGAATACATGCACCCAGCAATGACTCTAAGTCAAAGATCCTCCATAGCACTTCCACTCTAGAAGTCCCCCAAAAAGCTTAAAACCCAAAATCGTTCCTTATGCGACATCCATACGAATCTCTAATAAAATTTTTAAACTTTAATATCGGCTCTTCCAGGAATATAACTCCCCCCTCCCTCCCGCCTAAATTAACAATCGATTCTAAGATTCAGAACTAAATTTATTCGTTTTCAATATAAAAGAAAAAAAGGACAAAAAGGGAATAAGTGTTATATATTTAAATGAACTCTTTCAATATTTAAAGACATAACTTATTTTACTAAAATATCTACTTATTAAAATCGTTATCGCTTATCAAAAGCATATTTAGATATATACAAGCAGTCATTTCGCGTATTACAAATATATATATCAAGAATGATATAAAAGTTTATTATCAAATAGTCTAAAATTTATTGGATGTGTAAAGACAATATGCGTATTGAATGATTACGCAAATTGACTTTAACATACACTATATACTAAATATTTTTATTTTTTTATATTCTAAGTAAACATCTTTATTTCTTCTAAATAATGTTCATGATCCTCTAACCCCGGTCTATCTTAGAGGCAAAATCATAAAATAAATATAGTAGTTTGTTCAAAATAGTTAATTAAATCCTTTCGAGTAAGATAATTTTATTTTGTTATTATCGAATAATCCATATGCGCATATGTGAAAAGTTTAATTTTAGATATTTAAAGCATAGCTAAGTGACTTTGGTGGGAGAAATATGACCTATCTAAAAGCAATAATAAAAGAATTTTATTAATAGATATATTTATTTCAAATAATTATTTTACTTGAACCCATTATATTTCAGAACTATTTTAAAGATGCTTGGAATGTGTTTGATTTCATAACTGTAGTTGGAAGTATAACAGATGTAATGGTTACCGAGATTAAGGTATTTTAAAAATAAAAATTTTTGATATTTATTTCATCGATAAGTGTGATTTTTTTAAAAATGATTAACTTGTTATGGCAGTGTTTTATTGTGATAAAGCTTATATGATTCCATACAAGATATTTATAAATTACTTCTATAAAAATATAAAATTGGTACCAAAAATTTTAGAATGAGCATGTATAACGCCAGAAATAGCATATAGCAACTTACTAAAATAAATAAAATTTTAAAAATAAATTATGCCAATTTTTAATATTAACTAACCTTGAAGCTAATATGTGTTTTGAGGGAATGAGTTAATTTAGGTCAAAATTCCTAAATCACTAGAGTCGAAATATTTTGTTGCATCTCAATTCAGATCTATATACCATTAGAAAAACACTTTTTTTGGTTTAGAATTATAAAGATTTCAAAATGCTACACTATTTTTGATTAATTCGATATTTATTTATTTTTTGAGGATAAGGTAAAAAAGTAAATCCATGTAATTTAATATCATCGTGCAAAAATAAATATAATCTATAACAATTAAAATTATATATTGATATCTATAAATATCCATATTTGTATGATTGGGTAGCCTATGATTTAAGTGCATGACATTTTAAATAAATAATAAACGATTATATTGAAATACTTTCCCTTCCTATATTAAAGCTCACAACTTTGAGGTCCTTTATTATGAATTTCCCAAGGACCATTCACTCCCCAACTTATCGCAGCTTTAGAGAATTCACAATTATAATTAAAAATTTTGTTCTGTAGTTATTTAGAAAAAAAGTATCATAATTTTCACAATTAGTAGTCTTGATCTTATTAACAATATTATATAAAGATTGGTTATAACGGATAAAAATCTTCGGTAATAGTAGGAATTGATATTTTATGTGGAAAAGATTAAGGATATAAAATATTTTTCAAGGGAGCCTCCGATGGTTGCTAACTCATAAGCCTAAGCCAGTCATCTACCGACAAAATATTAAATCTAGAATATTTAAGATATTGAGTAGTTATGATATAACGGCTTATTATTTTGTTAACCGGCAAATGTCTTAAAATCAACCTTAGCTATTACTATTAGAATAACTGTCATGTCACAGTCTTTGAAATACATCTACAAACTTATGTGTTAAAAAAAATGAAATCTTTAAAACTTGTTTAAATTGATAGTTGAATAGATATCAACGTGAAAACTATTTTGTGTTGGAGTATTGTACAGGAATCCTTCTACTTTATGATATAATATTTTTTTTGTTTAAAGTTATGTAAACTAATCAAAATATAATTGTGAGGATAATTTATATTAATGGAAGAAAAAAATTAAATTTTTTACAATTTTTAAAAATTATTCAATATGTATTTATTTATATGTTTCCAATCAGAAAACTAAAACGTTTATTTCCTCAAGTAAATTAAATTTAAAATATATCAAAGCAATTATCAGAGTCAAAATCAACTTTGCCCATTTCACACTTTTTTTAGAAGTCTTAATTTTAAACTAGCAATAATCAAATGTAATTGATAATTTATTTGAGGTAGAAGAAAACATAACGAATTGTAAATCACTGAAAAAATATTTTACTTGTTTTAATTTCACATAACTAGCCACTATATCTAATTTTAGGAAGGAGTATAAAATAAATGCCTCCACCCTGGTGAATAATTTTATCCCCAAACAAATAGCTCAATAAATTAATGATAATAAATTACTTATAATTTTTATTTTTTCAATTTAAGTCTTTCACTCTAATACAAACCAATTTTATTAATCTGGGATTCTTGAGATTGTTTCGAGCTGCTCGCCTCATAAAATTACTGAGACAAGGTTATACAATCAGGATGTTGCTATGGACATTTATCCAGTCTTTTAAGGTAACTATTTTTAAAATCTATTATATTTTATAAATTATTTTTTTTAATAGGCTTTGCCATATGTGTGTCTTCTCATTGGTATGCTGTTTTTTATATACGCAATCATAGGAATGCAGGTTTAATCATTTAGTTATACTATAATTAGCGAAAGGGGGTTAAGGTGGGTGACCACCTTTAATATAATGTTAAATGCACAGAATCATCTATTTTATATATAGAATTGGTCCACTTCTACTGAAAGACTAATACCCTTAAAAATTCATTTTTACATATATTCATTCATTTTCTAAACTTAAAAATTGTATATATTATCTAAAATTCCTATAATTAGATATTTGGAAACATCGAATTAAAGGAAGATACCGAAATAAATCGACATAACAACTTTAGGACATTTATTCAAGCTTTGATGTTATTATTTAGGTTAAACTTATTTATTCTCATTGCATCCTAGCTTTACATAAAAAGGAGGGAAAAGGCCCTTTTAGGATCAGTCAAAAAATCTAGGGGTTTTTATTCACACCTTATAAACAAGTTTAATAGTTTTTATTCGAAAATTATCATAAAATTATACAATATGGGGTTTCATCCCTTTAAATGTGAAATTGCTTGAATACGTCATAAAATATTATGTAAGTATAGATATTTCATTTATCGATATTATTTAAATACTGATATAATCATATAACATCAACTCCCTATTTCTATTAGATTCCATATTGCTTGATGTAGACTAGGGCTAGGCTGAATCTATGTTCAGAGGAAAATGGCGTGATATCGCGCTCCATATTTACGTAAGATACCCAAATTAGGCCAATACATCACTATGGGAGTTATAGCGCTATAAATTCAATTAGGCCTATACTAAAATTTTTTGAATCGTTTAAGCATAAATTGATTTAATATAATGTTGTTAATAATGTATCAAATTTTATTCAAATATTTTATGTCCCTGCCTGGCTATTCTACCATACTCGATTTGATCTTGGTGGGCGAGTGAAATCTTTTATCCAAATAAATTCGTGGAATTCCTTTATTAAGCACTTTTTATCCAAGTCAACCCTAAATGTCTGTTTATTATTAGCCCTAAATAATGCAAGTTTTACTGCTTCCACCATCAACTGTAAATATTCTTCCACTTCATCATATTTCGTTGAATTTAAATATAAGCATACCCTTTTCCTCGACTCTATAAATATTAGAGACCTGCAGAAGTACCATTTGCACCGACCGGTCCGGATTTTTTTTTTAAAAATTTTTTCAGATCTGGAATTTTTATTAAAAAAAATTTTTCAGCCCGGTCCAGGATAAAATTTTTTTTAGCCGACTTGGATAGCTCAGGCCGGGCCTGCAGGTCTCTGATAAATATTGAAGAAACCAAAGTTTTGAACATAACCCTAATTCCCAATATTTCCATCATGAAATAACATCACCGACTTGCATTGTACATCATAATATATTCAAAACGAGTTATTCCTCCAACATATAAAGAAAAGTCAAAATAATCTTATATTCATCCATATTTTATACTACCATATGCTTTCTAAACCGACTATATAGCTATTTCTGTTTTTTTAACTAGCCTACACATCACTTAACTAAATCCATTCATAATATTTTTCAATCAAATCTTCCCACATCTAGATTTGCCTTAAGAATTTTACTCCATTGTCATTTTTATAAATTGGTATAATCAACATTAGCAATTTTAAAATATTTTTAAAATCTGCAACCGATGACCTTAAACCTCTCTTTTGACTATTTCTACTATAATAATTTGCAATCTACAAACGATGATTTTTTCATAACACGGTTATCCTAATATTTTACATTTTATTTGATAAATGTATTATAGATGTGCCACGGGGGAAAGTTGGCAGTTGATAATGTTGTCTTGTATTGCACAACGACCATGCGATCCGCTATCTGGTAAAAGTAAGCCAGAATGTGGTCTCAATTTGGCTTTTGTTTACTTTTGCTCATTCATTTTCCTATGCTCATTCTTAGTATATTTATAATTTTTATAATATATTTTAATTTCATAATATATTTCACTTATATTTCAAGTAAGAAATTTAAATTTCTTATTTAAGTTTAGGATTATCGTAAAATACTTAAAATACGATAGAAAAAAATTAATTCTGCTATTCTCTTCTATGCAAACTTAATTTTACCTTAGTGCAAATCACATCTAACTACATGAAATAATTAAATAAAATATATTATCGTAGATTTATATCTTAAGCATGATGTCTTATTCATTTAATGCAGATGTTGAATTTATTCGTAGCGGTTATAATGGATAATTTTGACTATCTAACTCGCGACTCCTCTATATTGGGTCCTCATCATTTGGATGAATATATCAGAGTTTGGTCTGAGTATGATCCTGCTGCCACGTAATACATACATAATTTATTTTTAAATTCTCCTTTGAAGGGAAAGCTATATATTTACTAATATTTTATTATGGTAAATTAAATCTGAATTCAAGATATAGGTATTGTAGTCATGATGACTTACGAATTACAATTATTTTTACTTACATCTAATAATTAAATTTCTTTGAAATTCTTTAGAACAGACTTTATTTTCAGTTATACATTCTTTGCTAATTTAAACAAACCGTCGACGATTTATTTTTTAAAAATCTTTCGGTAAAAATTGGTTATTATATTTCATCATAATATCACTAAACACCTCAATGGGCGTACATCTAGAAATTCCTCAAGACATTTTTGCGACTAACTACAGAATTATATTTTCAATTCCATAGAAATATTTTCGGGTATCAACCAAAAAGTCAAGTCTATTAATAATATTCGCCATAATGGTAGTTTTCATATGCATTAAAAGTAAGTTAACTCACAGAAGATTTACCATCTACAACTATTTTCCAAACGATTGGGATTAATAATTTCTTGATGGGTCCCAATTATTTTAAATATTTTTGAAAAAATTTATGCCGTTAATAATGCTTTAAATTTGCATATATATAAAGCTTTCGATTCCAATATCGTTTTTGATTAAAACATTTTTTGCTATATATATAATAAAGAGAGTTAGATTATTCGGTATTAACGCATTCTTGCTAATCCAAAAATGCCTTCTAACTTGCCCACTATCTTGTTTTACCAATTTTTTTCAAATCTTCCAAGTTTTTAACTATTAACCTGGTTACTTTTTAGCCCACATCCATCCTTTTATATGATTCTTTTTAAAAAGTCGCAACTTATAAGTAAGATTCTTCGCCTCAAGATTATTACATGTAAATGTATAAATTGAAAATAGGGGCGGACTGGCGACGCCACGGCCTCGTGGGCATTTTTTTAAAGCGGCCTCATTTTTATGGGGGCTTCGCCCCCATACTTTCAATTTTGTTTTGCCCGGGCTTCGGCCGGGTTCCCTTAAATGGCTTCTATGAATTATATGATTTTTATAACTTCTTATTTTTGAAAATAGGTACAAACGATGTACATTTTTTTTTAAAAAAAAGAATAATGACACGATACTCATATATATTTTATTTCATAAAATTGCACATCTAAAATCATATTTATTGCACATATATTTTATATTAGATATACAAAGATAATGCACTATAAAATTAAATCATACATCACATGTTAATTATAAAATAATACATAATACTCAATATATAACAATTAATTTCACATAAAAAATTATTGCAATTATACAATATTGCACAGAAAATAAAATTGCTACCGCCGATCATATTGTAAATAGATATAAATAAGATTTAAATAAAAGAATTAATATAAATTTTTAAGTTAATAAATCTCTCATTAACTTTGAACCTTTGCGCAAATAAACAAGAATATCTTTTAGTTCAATCTGCGCTAAAAGTTCCCGTTCAACTGACATCATTAATGCTTCTAATTTTTCTTGTCCTATATTTGGTCTCAGCCTATTTTTTATAATTTTTAATTTACTAAATGTTCTCTCACAATTGACTTGCGTAAATGATAAAGTTAAAATGTATTCAATTAGTGTAAGCACTTGTATGCATATTGTATCTTTTAATAATTTCGTATACACATATTAAACACTTGTTACATCTATTATCACATTTTGAGTTATTATCATTTTGTAATATTTCATCTTCTTCATATGATTCCTCACTTGTACATATGATATCATTGTCCGTTTCATTTAATTCTTCCACTAAATCTTTGAATACACTGGCAAATGAACACAATTCGTTACGTAATTTAACACTCAATATATTTGCCAATTGTGCCAGTTTTTCTAAGGCCTTTTCAGAAATACCTTTACTATTTATATCCTCAAAATTCCTTGGATGCAAATATTGCACATTCAAAATAAGCTCTTTATTCGCAGAAAACCGTTCCAAGCTGTTTATAATTTGATCAATTATAGGACGAAATACTTCGACCCTATAAAGGTCAATCGATTCTTGAGGACGTTCATCTTGGCCTTCGTCACTTATATATTCTCTTCACTCGTCCTATTCGATTTTTTGGCAGAGCAGTTTGTACCCAGATACTCTCTGGGAGCTTTAAATATGAAAGTGTTCCATTTAAATTAGAAGCCATTTTTGTTATTTTGAATTGAAGTAATAGTTATAGATAACACAGAAGACTTGGCATCTTCTATCATTTTCCACGCTGATAAAATATCTAAATTCTTAGTTTGAAGATATAATACAATGGCCCCATTATTTCAAAAATTTCTAAATATATTATAGCAGTACTTAGAGTCTTAAATTTACATAAATTATCAATCAAAGACTGTGCTTCTGATGAGGGTTTTGCCTCAAATGATTTATTATCAATTATAAATAGTAAGGCACTTATCGTTATTGGAAGTAGGCTCTCTTTGCCATATATCCATCTAAGGGCTTCATGTGGCCACCACCTTGTCTCTCCTATTTTTTGCAGTCTTCTCAACTTATTTTGGCCAGATGAGTTATTCTGTTTCACCCAAGCATCCATCCTTTTATATGATTCACCAAAGAAAGTTGCTAGTCTGTTCAACAATCCAAATAAATTTTTGCCTTCATGGCATGAATCACATATACATAGATTTAATATGTGACTATAACACCAAATATACAAACTACTTGGAGCCTCTTGTCTAATAAGAGCTAGCAACCCAACTAATTCACCCCGCATATTTGCCGCACCATCAAATGATTCTCCAATTATATTTCTCATTTGAATTCCATGTTTAAATAAGCATTCACTCAAGATATCAAAAAATCCTTTTCCAGAAGAGTTTGTAACTTTTGTAAGTGCAAAAAGCCTTTCTGTTATTTTGCCATTATATATGTATCGTAGGCAAATAGTTGCTTGATCATAAACACTAATGTCTTGAGTACTATCCATTTGCAAACTAAAACGTTTGTTACCAATCTCCTTTTTTATTAAATTCCTGATCTGATCAAGAACAACATCTATAACTTTGTTAACAGTTGTTTTCGACAACAAGTTTATGAGAGAACCTCTTCCCTTTGATTTTGATTTTTCAGTGAGTTTAACTTTTCTTTTCTACGTTTGCTCTTTAAAATAGCCTTCTCTAAATGATCTCTTAATATTTGATAATTTTTTGATATAATACGAATCATTTCCAGGAAATTCCCATGATTCAAATTTTCATTTTCAAAGTGGCTAAGTGTTTCAGTAACATTTGATCCTCTATAGGGTAAGTTTTGTTTGCCTAAAAACTTTATTATTTCAAATATTTGTTTTATTATGTGGACATTGCTATAATGTCGATTTTTTTCATTTAATATTTTAATACTAATTGAATTATCAAATGACTTATTTTTTGATGATCTGAGGTAGGCCTCGACAGCACTAATATGTACTTTCATGTATTTTAACTACTGAATGCATATGACGAAAATTTGTTGAGCCTGTTGTAAAAGTGTTTTCACATACTGCAAATGCCAGGCAGATTGAGCAGTACACAGCTTTGGCTTTATTGCACATTAGTTCTATTGTAAACCATTTTATAGGTATTTTTTCATTCATTACCATTCGATAATATAAATAGGATGTTGCATTAAGAATGCAAGTTTTTGTGGTATAGTAGTTGTTAATTGCAGCTTAAAATTTTGATGTTTATGCATATCCAATTCTGATAATCCACTTTGTGAAATATCTAAAGGCATTATTGATTTAGTTGCTTCTGACAAGTGTGAGGATAATAAAGATGGAATTGCTGTAATTATAGATAATTTATTTTCAGGGTGTGTGAATGATTTATCTGAATGGTTGGTAATATAGTTATAGGTGGGTGTGGCAATGATTGAACTGATGCAATAATAAAAGAAGATGTTGCAGATAATGTAGTTGTTTCAGGTAGATGTGAATAGGAGGTAGTTGCTGATATTCCTAAAATAATAGATTTTTTAATATGAAGTACTAGTATTATAAATACTTGGTATTGATTTATCAAAGAAAGATAATTTAAGTTGTTTTGGATCAGCACCAGCTGCTTTGAGACAAGCAACATCTTTTTCTCTTAATTTTTCAGCTCCACCCTTAAATTTCCTTTTGGCATTTCTATGCATGATAATATAAAAATTTATTATTATTAATGTATAACTTAAGGCTAAAAAAAATATTACAAGATGTGAACTGGAAATTCAAATAATTTTATAAAAATCTGATGAACCAGCCAGTAATAAAAAAAACATTAATTACTATCTATGGGTTATGAAATATAAATAAGTTACTTTTGACTTTTTACATACATTTCAAAAAATAGCTATATAAATATTAAATTAGATTTGTTTGCAAATGATTAGTAAATTGTTGCAATCCAAATATTAGGTGAGATTTTAACAATCTGTGTTCGTTGAGTTAAGCTTATTTAGTAATAATATAATAAAATAACAATAAATTAATATTAAAAGAAACTTTAGAAAATCAAATTGATCAAAAATTTATTTATTAAAATTATTATTATACCTGGATTTTATTTAATTTCTTTTCTTGAAATAAGAACAATACAATAACAAAAGTTTGCTATATTATTTCTACAATAAATTAATGTATAAAAATATAATATAATAAATTAATTAAAACTTAATTTACACTCTACTCGTAGTCAAGCTCAAAAGGAAGCGATTCACTTCATTCGAAAAAAAACAAGAAAAAGCACGTGATAATGATGTATAGCGTCAAGCGACGTTATTAATATTTTATGAATTCAAATATAGTAAATTAAATGATAATAGAAAATATTATGGACATAATAATATTATTTTTTTTCTAATCGGCCTCTTTTTTTATATTTTCCTCCGATCGGCCTCAAAATCGACATTTCCTCGCGGCCTCGTGGGCAAAATGCCCACTGGGTCTTATGGCCAGTCCGCCCCTGATTGAGAATGTGGCTATATAACACCATA